ATAAAATAGAAGAATAGAATAGAATAGAATAGAATAAAATAAATAAAATAAAATAAAATAAAATAGAAGAATAGAATAGAATAGAATAGAATAAAATAAAATAATAAAATAATAAAATAAAATAAAATAGAATAGAATAAAATAAATAAAATAGAATAAAATAGAAGAATAGAAAGAATAAAATAGAATAAAATAAAATAAATAAATAAAATAAAATAATAAAATAAAAAATAGAATAAAATAAATAAAATAGAATACAATAGAAGAATAAAATAGAATAGAATAAAATAAAATAAAATATAATATAAAATAAAATAAAATAATAAAATAAAATAAAATAAAAAACTTACGCCTTTATCTAGTGATAATTTTGCCTTTTAAAGTACACTTAAAAGTCCACATCACACTTTTCCATCTGAATGCTCTAAGTTTCAAACTCTACCTACTTAACAGTCCAGGAATAAAGGACACCACACTGCCATCTGTCTGCACAAGCATTTTGCTAAGTTATTCAGAAGCTGCCTCTGCTTATAAACGTGGGTTATAGAAGAAGCGATATTGCACATGAAATTCTCTTTATAAACGCTGTCAGGTCATGAATTCTTTCTCCTTTTTGTTGATGCAGTATAATTATACACAATGGTGGGTTTTGTTGTTACATATTTGTACATGCACACAAGCTAACAGTAGAATTTGGTTAATATGAAATCAGCTATATAATGAATATTTACGATAGGAAATAATTCTAACAGTAGAATTTGGTTAATATGAAATCAGCTATATAATGAATATTTACGATAGGAAGTAATCATGAAAAATGAGGGGTGCCACATTCATGTTTATGGCAGGCCAATTCACAAAACCCAAGCTACTGAATCAACTGAGGTGTCCACCCACGGATGAATCGAGAAAGAAAATATGGTGAATATATGCAGTGGAGTATTACATAGCTAGGAAGAAGCATGACTTTGCAGGTAAATGGATGGAACTGGAGAGCATTAGGCTAAGTGAATCAGCCAGACCTATAAAATCAAGGGTCAAATGTTCTCTGTGCTATGCAGAAGCCAGATTGAAAATAAGGGGGAAGAAAAAGAAAAGAAGATGGAATATGATCCAAATAGAAGAGAGATCCATGGAGTGGAGGAAGGGCCCTGAGGGCGAGGGAGGAGGATGGGGTTAGAATGAATGCAACCCCTCACTTTATTGTGTACATCCATGAACAGACACACGTGCCAGAAGCAGGTGCTGGACATGGCACATGGTCGGGGGCTGGGAGGGCGCGGCCCCCCGGGGCTCACCTTTGCAGGAAGGAGGAGACTTCGTGCAGCAGGAGGGGCGTGGCCCTGTCCAAGTCCAGGGGCTGCTGGGTGACAGTGTGGTTCCTCATCAGGAAGCAGTCCGCGTGCAGGATCAGGTGGCCCACGAAGCGCGCGGCCGTGAGCAGGACAGCAGCCGCCAGGGCGGCCCCGAGGGCGGGCAGCCAGGAGCTGGTGAGCCGGGTGAGGCGGGCCGCCGCCAGCGTGAGCGAGCCCACGGCCAGGACCTGGACCCAGAGGCCCAGGCTGCGCTCCAGGCCCGCGCGCTTCTCCGACAGCTCCCAGCGCGCGCAGTCGGCCATCATGGAGAAGGGCATCCCCAGGAAGCTGTCGAACCCGTGGGCCTGCGGGTGGTGGCAGTGATCGCGGGGAGACTCACAGTTCAGCCCCAGGTGCCATTTTCCTGGGGGAGGAGAGGCCAACWGTAGGCATCACATATATCATGGTTTGGGTCTGCCGTGTCGCCCCAAATCTCCCTGCACTGCAGCCTCGGACCCCAAGGCAGCAATGGCACAGGTGAGCTTTAGGGACGCAGTGGGTCTAGGTCAGCTCTGGCCTCCTGGAGGGATTCATCCACTGAAAGATAGAAGACAGTCACACAGGCCCTGGGAGGGGGCTCCAGGAGACGCTGATGGGAGGAGGTTGGTGGGAGCACACACCATGTCCCTGGCCCCTTTCTGTCTTGCCCTCGGCTCTCCATCTGCCATGAACTGAGCTGCTTTCCTAGACCAAGCCCTTCGGCCATGATGTTCTGCCTCACCCCAACCCAGAGCCACGGAGATGGAGACGTGGGGCACAGATGGAGGAACTAGGACACTGGAGACACGCCCTTGGGGTCTCTATCTTGTCCTTGGCTCCTCTCTCTCTCTCCCTCTCTCTATGCCTCTCTGCTCCCTGGTGCCCGGTCCTGAGCTGCTCTCCTCCTCCAGGCCCTGCCTCCATCTTGTTCTGCCTCCCCTTGGGCCAGAGCCATGGAGTCGGCCACCAGGGACTGGACCTCTGAATCCATGAGCCCCACATAGACTTCTCTTCTTCTAAAAGCTCATGTGTGTGACACTATAAGAACCTTCAGATGTGAAATGATTGGGATAGGAGAGGCGTAACCCTCTCAGTGGATTAATCCACTTGAATGGACTCACTGGGCGGTGGCTGCAGCAGGTGGGGTGTGGCTGGAAGAGGGGGTCCCTAGGATTTGCCTTTGGGGTCTCTGTCCTGTCCCTGGTGAGCAGAGCTCTCTCTGCTCCCTGGTGCCCGGTCCTGAGCTGCTCTCCTCCTCCAGGCCCTGCCGCCATTTTGTTCTGCCTCCCTTTGGGCCAGAGCCATGGAGTCGGCCCACCAGGGACTGAACCTCTGAATCCATGAGCCCCTAAGTAGACTTCTCTTCTTCTAAAAGCTCATGTGTGAGACACTACAAGAACCTTCAGAGGTGAGATGACTGGGATAGGAGAGGTGTAACCTGCTCAGTGGATTAATCCACTTGAATGGACTCACTGGGTGGTGACTGCAGCAGGTGGAGTGGGGCTGGAGGAGGGGGTCCCTGGGCTGTGCCTTGGGGGTCTCTGTCCTGTCCCTGGTGAGCAGAGCTCTCTCTGCTCCCTGGTGCCCTGTCCTGAGCTGCTCTCCTCCTCCAGGCCCTGCCGCCATCTTGTTCTGCTCCCCTTGGGCCAGAGCCATGGAGTCRGCCACCAGGGACTGAGCCTTGGAAAACATGAGCCCCAAGTAAACCTTTCTTTCTTTAAATTGTTGTTTCCTGCATATTTTGCACAGAAAGGCGGCTACAACAGCATGCTCGCTCTACTCGAGCTCTCTCCCAGGAGCTGGGGGAGTGTAGGCTGTGACACCAATGACCACACCACCTGACCTTATCCTTGTGGGAACAAGGGCCCCGAGAGGAAGCATTTCCCTGAGTATTAATTTCTCGTGAGAGGTGTGACAGATTGCCATAAATCTGCTTGCTTAAACCAACAGGGGGTGGTTCTCTGTCACATCTGGACAATCCTCTCAGGATCCTCTACAGGCTGGGTTTCCACATAAGGTCCCACAGCAGCCCTTGATCGTCTATTGGCATTCCTGCTGTCCATCAATCATGGACAGAAAATGTTAGGGGGGAAATTTGCATCTTCTCTGAGCACAGGCAAATTGTTTTCCTTGGTACTCAACAAACAATAGAGCCTAGCAACAAATCGGGYAGCACCGACATTGTTTTGGGTATTTTAAGTCCTATGAAGGTGATTTAAAGTCGACAGGGGGATGTGTCCACGTTCTATGCCAACACTGTACCATGTTATATAAAGGCGTGGAACCTCCAAACATTTGGGTATCTAGGGGTTCCTGTAGCATTTAGCTCCTGATATCCTTGGGAACCTTGTTCAGTAATTGCTGATAAAAAAAAAAATATTACTACAGAGTTGGACACCGTGGCGCATGCCTATAATCCCAGCAGCCTGGGAGGCTGAGGCAGGAGGATTGTGAGTTCAAAGCCAGCCTCAGCCAAAGTGAGGCCGTAAGCAACTGAGCGAGACCCTGTCTCTAAATAAAATACAAAATACGGCTGGGGATGAGGCTCCGTGGTTGAGTGTCCCTGGGTTCAATCCATGCTACCAAAAAAAAAAAAAAAAGTTATCACTACAAGTCAGGATCGTGGCCATGTGGTCCCCTTTCCCTTCTCCCTGTCTGTTGTCTTGAAGTTTCACTTACTTACTTTTTGTTCAATATCTAATGTGGTTTCTTGGGATATAGAAAAACACGTGTTTGTTATGGAAGCACAGAGTGAGGTAAGTTATATGCAAACATTTGGTCAATGAGCATCTAGTTTATGTTGTTTTGATATTTATTTTTTTTGTGTGTGTGATGGGGGTATCGGTATGTTCCCTAGGATGGCCTCCAACTTCTGGCCTCAAATGATCCTCCTGCCTCTGCCTCTGGAGTAGCTGGGACTACCACCATGCCTGGCCATATGACTATTATTTTTGAATGTGTTGACTTTTAATTTTGTACCAGGGATTTAACCCAGGGGTGCTCTATCACTGTGCACCCTCCCCATCCCTTWATATATTATTTTTTWAAAAAAAATTTTTGAGACAGGGTCTTGCTAAGTTGCTGAGGCTGGCCTCCAATATGCAATCCTCCTGCCTCAGCCTCCCAAGTTGCTGATTATAAGTGTGTGCCACCACACCTGACCCGTTGACATTTGTTGAATAACTCGTGGCCCCTGTGCATCCTGGGAGACCACATCATTTCTGTCATCTGGGAAATTACCTGGGACCTCACTGGTTGCCTTTCCAAACATTTGGAGTTCAATAGACCCTTCAAAGAAAAGTAGTGAGCTCCAGAGTTGAAAGAAAGGTACCTACCTATTAGTCCAGTGGCGTAGCCTTGGTCTCTCAATATTTTTGCAAAAGTTATCTCATTGGTGGGCAGGCCCCCGGCTGCTGCTGTCCACTGGAGAACACGGAAAGCATTGCTGGAAACCATGCCTTCGACCAGCCAACAAAAAGAAATCAGTTACTATTATGTATTTGCTTTGAGTTGATGATGATGATGTTCACTCTTTTAAATTCCGAATATTCTGTAGAACTCTCCATTATTGAAAATGACATTGAAAAGTTCCTTCCTGCAAAGACCTGCCTCACAGAACCACGTATTTGGCAGGGAAGGTCATAATGAAATGTCAATGCTGGAGAGAAGGTGTCTGGTCTTGTGCAAGTTAGGTCACTAAAGGGAAAAAAAAAAAAGAATCTAATGGAAAAGGAATGAGAATTTAAAATGCACTTTGATTTCTCCAAATTCTTGCTATCACCAAAGAGTTTTCACAGTTATCTGTGAAATGATGTGCAGAGCTTCTAGGTACGCTAATGGATGGTTATCACTCCAGAGAGTGCATAGGGAGTTGGCCTGGTGTGGATTTGGGAATGATTGAAAGATTCATTGCGTCAAGTATGGTAGTGCACACATGTAATCCCAGTGGCTTGGGAGGCTGAGGCAGGAGGATAGCAAGTTGGAGGCCAGCCTCAGCCACTTAGCGAGGAAYTAAGCAACTTAGCAAGACCCTGTCTCAAAATAAAAAAAAAAAAAAATAGAAAGGGCTGGGAATGCGGCTCAGTGGTTAAATGCCCCTGGGTTCAATCCCTGGTATCAAAAATAAGTAAATAAACGAAAGAAGATTTCCTGGATAGTTCTAATATACTGGCAAACCACTGAGCTCTTGACTTCAACACAGGTGTGTATGTGTGGGGAGGTGCTGGGTATTGCACCCACGGTTGCTCTACCATGAGCCACAGTCCTAACCCTTTTTTTAATTTTGAGTGTCTTGCTAAATTGCTGAGGCTGACCTCAAATTTGCAGTCCTCCTGCCTCAGCCTCCTGAATTGCTGGAATTTCAGGAGTGCATCCTCCTACCCAGCTATGCAGAGGGAAAGGAAGGTTTTCTTGCTGTTTAGGTGTAGCAGGGCCACCAGATCAGGGGATGAGTACCACTGAAAGTAGAGTTTGTGACCATTTGCGAGAAGAGGGGATATGCCAGGCCATGGGGTACCATCAGGGAGGCACTGGGGTAGGTCAGGAGGCAGAGGGAGTGAGGAAGAAATTTAAGGAGATGCCTCCATTTTAAAATTTTTATTTTAAATGGAAAGAAATAAGCAAGGCAGAGCAAGACGTTTTCAAATCTGCCAGCGTTAATAATTTTGGTCTGCTCTGGGCTACAGGGGCTGCTCACTGCCCCAATTTCCTGGTTGCAGAACCTGGGGTGAGGGGAGCAGGGGATATTCACCCAGAGGACATGGGCAGAGGATCTGAAGGATCCACATGGAGAACAAGCTCACATGCACATTGCTGTTATCTCTAGGAACCGGCCAGCACCCAGAGGGTCAGCTCCCCGAGGGCCAGCGAGGGCCATGATATCAAAGCATCAAAATGCAAAAAATAAAGATACATGTTGAATGCATGCTTAATACTGCAGCCCAGAGAGAGATGGACGGATGGATGCAGAGACAGGTGACAAGTGGGGACATGATACAGATGATAGATCCAGTTGCTTCTTTTTCCTGGGAAATCCTTAACTAGTCCTGGGTGAGAATCTCCCCTGGAGTCTGGGGCAGATTCTTCAGCCTCAGGGTCCAAGAGCAGAGAAACGGTGAGGACAATACACAGAGTGCTGAATTTTTGATCTACTTCCTACCCAACTCCCTTGCAAATGGCAGATTTTAAGCTAAACAATAACATATATATCATGCCCCCAAATAATCTATAAGACATGAAGGGCCCCTGAGCTGATTGAGAAATCCCTGCCTTGGAAAGAGAAAAAATATCTTGCCAAAGGACATCCCCCCACGGACCACAGAAAACAAAGACCATTCTCTTTCCATTAAGAGGGCAAAAATTTAAGAACGAGTTTCAGAAACACATTCATATTTTTGCTCTGATTAAGCATATTTGTTTAGTTCTTTTTTTTTTTTTTTTTTTTTTTTTTGCACCTTGCCTAATGTATACCTGAGGTCTGTGATAGGAGGCTCAGCAAATGGCCTCCTGCCTACTTTTGTACCCCCAGCCAGTGAGAAATGGATTGGTGCTGCTGTGGTTTGGATTGGGTGCGTCCCCCCCAATAAGCTGTGTGTGGAAGGCCTGGTTCCCAGGGGATGGTCTATTAGGACGTTAGGGAGCCTTTAAGAGGTGGGGTCTAGTGGGTGGAAGTGACGTCATGGAGGCGTGGCCTGGAAGGGGCGAGTGGAGCTCCACCCCTCCCTCTGCTTCAAGGATCCTCCATGTTCTCACCCCAGGACCACAGCCAAGGAGCCAAGGCCCAGGAGCAGGGCCCTTCCACACCTTGAGCCCCACAGAGATATCTGGATCTCAATGAGCTTATTTCTGTCACAAAGCTGACTCATCCAGGGCCTTTGCAGATAATTGGGAAAAAGTAGAGAAGATTTCATAACCTGTTGTTCCAGTTGGTTCTTTTCACTACTGTGGGAGGGAGAAAAAAAAAAAAAAAAGACCTGACAAGAACAAATTTAGAGGAGGAAAAGTTGAATTTGGTTCATGGCATCCGAGGTCCAGTCCCTGGTTGGCCAACTCCATGGCTCTGGCCCAAGGGGAGCAGAACAAGATGGCGGCAGGGCCTGGAGGAGGAGAGCAGTTCAGGACAGGGCACCAGGGAGCAGAGAGAGCTCTGCTCACCAGGGACAGGACAGAGACCCCAAAGGCCCAGCCCAGGGACCCCCTCCTCCAGCCACACCCCACCTGCTGCAGTCACCACCCAGTGAGTCCATCCAAGTGGATTAATCCACTATTAGTCTACACCCAGTGAGTCCATCCAAGTGGATTAATCCACTATGAGTCTACACCTCTTACAACCCAATCATTTCACAATATGGTGGCAGGGCCTGGAGGAGGAGAGCAGCTCAGGACAGGGCACCAGGAGCAGAGAGAGCTCTGCTCACCAGGGACAGGAGAGAGACTCCAAAGGCACAGCCCAGGGACCCCCTCCTCCAGCCACCCCCCACCTGCTGCAGTCACCACCCAGTGAGTCCATCCAAGTGGATTAATCCACTATTAGGTTACACCAGGAAGCAGAGAGAGCTCTGCTCACCAGGGACAGGACAGAGACCCCAAAGGCACAGCCCAGGGACTCCCTCCTCCAGCCACACCCCACCTGCTGCAGCCACCACACAGTGAGTCCATCCAAGTGGATTAATCCACTGATCAGGTCACACCTCTCCTCCTCTAACCATATCACCTCTGAACTGTCTTGCGTTGCTTCACCCATGAACTTTTGGGGCACAAAATGCAACACATGTGGATAAAGTTTTATTAGGACAGGGCCACAACCATTTTTGAGTGCACTGTCCATAGAGGACTTCAAAAATGCCATTGAGCAGCTGTACCCAAGACTGTGTGGCTTACAAAAATGAAAATATTCGCTCCCTTGCCTGCTACAGAAAATGTTATGTTCGTACAGTGAAATCCCAGCCTGGGTCACCTTGTTCCCCGAGGGGCTAGCGCACCAGGGCTGGCTGCAGTGTCCTGGCAGAACTCTGTGCGCTGGGACCCCTCTTTCCCCGTCTGGGTGTCATTGAGAGAAGGCTGCGGGTGGCCATGCTCCTGTTCCTCCCCAGGTGGGTTTCACAGTAGGACTGACCTGAGCGAATGGGGTATCTGCCCGTCAGGAAAGCAGCCCTGCTCGGGGTGCACACGGACGCCGCGGCGATGTGCTGGGTCAGGACCACCCCGTCTTCTGCAAGCCGGTCGATGTTTGGAGTCCTGCCGAGAGAAAAAAATAATAGTGCTGTGTTCTGCTGTGTTCTCCGAAGAAACCCAGATTTTCATCAGCGTAGGGTAAGCTGCTGGTCATCAGTGGGTGCATCAAGATGTGCTCGAGAATGATCCAGAACCTGAAATGTCCCCAGGACCTTCAAAGAAACAGCATCTTGATGAACTATGGTGGACCCCGTGTCCACCAGGCGCTCCTAGTCCTGACAGACAGACAGATGGGCAGTTCAGAAGCGGGAGGCTGCTTCTCACTGGGCGGTCAGGGACTGCATGGGCAGGTCCAAGGTCACGGACACCCGTGAGGGGACCGGGCCAGGCACACCCAGCAGGGCCCGCAGATTCAGCTCCATGCTGGGTCTCAGGGGACATTAGAAGAATTGAGATCAGTCCTGAGTGGGTGGGCTTGGCTGGATGGAAGAGGGGCTGGGAGTGAGGGGCAGTTCAGCATGGCTTTGGGCTCACAAGCAATAAAACTCATTTCCAAGACACCCTCCATCTGTAGTGGGTGGGTTAACGGATGCTCGGAGTGGGGGGTGTAATTGCTATACTGCCAGCTCTGTCTCTCCCGGGTGCCCTCCACCACCAGGAAGCAACAGGAGAACTGAGCCCACCCTGAGGAGGAGCGGTCACCTGCTCTTGGATGACCCTGCCTCCCGATCCGGGGGCGGCAGGACCCTCGATTCCTATAGGAATCACCAGATCTAGGACCTGCTCTTTCCTCTGGTCCCCAAGAACCCATTTCCCATTCCTTGCCTTAGGGTCTTGTTGCCATAGCAGCCGAGGTCTCCAATGCCAAGGTCATCCGCCATCATCAGTAGGATGTTGGGCCTCGAGTCAGCCACATCCCTGCAGGCGGACGGCGTCCCTCCCAGCCACAGACCCAGGGCCACGGCCAGACAGCTCCTGAAACACAGGCTACACAAGCACGCTCAGCCCTGTAGCACGCGCCGACGGTCAGACGCTTGCAGGGGGACACGGTGTCAGTGTTTAAGGGTTTGATGGGCTTAGGGTTTAGCTTTGAACCTATGCCCCAGGCCTTTGATTTTTTTTTTTTCATTTAAAATTGCTCATGCAGTTGATGGTCCTATTTGGACTTTCAAAGTAATTTTGGAGGCTCTAGAGTGTTGTTGAATGGTTATGGCAATAGCAACTTAAAAAGCCGTATTTAAGCTTCCTTAAAATGTATGGATCTGTTTCCAAGAACAGCTACTGCACCCTCCCGTTCTCCAACTGGCTTTTCTTCCTCTTCCTTCTCTCTCTCTCTCCTCTCTCTCTCTCTCTCTCTCTCTCTCTCTCTCTCTCTCTCTCTCTCGGTGGGGGGGACTGGGAATTGAACTAGGGGCACTTGACCACTGAATCATATCCCCAGCCCTATTTTTTTTATTTTTTATTTTCATTTTTTATTGATTTTTTTTAAAAAATAAAGGACAGCAGAATGCATTACAATTCTTATTACACATATACAACACAATTTTTCATATCTCTGGTTGTATATAAAGTTATATAAAGTATGTTGACACCAATTCCTGTCTTCACACATGTACTTTAGATAATGATGTCTATCACATTCCACCATCCTTGCTAATCCCCTGCCCCCTCCCTTTCCCTCCCACCCCTCTGCCCTATCTAGAATTCATCTGTTCTTCCCATGCTCCCCNTCTCTCTCTCGGTGGGGGGGGGGGTGAATGTTACCAGGGATTGAACTCAGGGTCCCTCAAACAATGAGCCCCGTCCCCAGCCCTATTTTGCATTTTATTTAGAGTCAGGGTCTCACTGAGTTGCTTACGGCCTCTCTTTGTCTGAGGCTGGCTTTGAACTCAAGATCCTCCTGCCTCAGCCTCCTCAGCCACTGGGATGACAGGTGTGTGCCACAGCGCCTGACTCTTGTCCTTCTTTCTTAAATGGCAAAACTGTGTTGGACTTGTGTGTTGGGGGTACCTTGCTACAAGTTGGAACACTGAGTAGACACAAGCTCTGGGCAGTGGCCAGTCCCGGTGAAGCCAGAAATAGATAGACAGAGTAGATAGGTAAATCGAGTCAGGAGGCCAATTTTTGAGTGAGTCTGGAAAGTTGAAGACTGTCCCCTGAGGGTTACTGTTTACTCTAAAACTACCCTAGTGTCAACCTTAGTAGGACCACTTGTGAATTAGCTAGTGGCTTTCATCAAGGACAGGGTAAACACAGTTCAGATGATGGTTCTGTATACCCACTATCAAGCCCTAGACCCAGAAGAAGATGTAGGGCCTGCCCATATAGACCCTATATAGACCCCCAACTGAGGCAAGTTTCCAGACAAAGGGGGGAGTGAGAAATTGATGTGGCTCCATTTTTGAGAAACCGGCTTCTACCTCATGACCCTTGTCCTTGGACAAACCCACAGAGCACTCCTAGGCACATACCCACCCTGCTGAGCTGTTTGTCTGCAAATAACAGGAGAGATCTGCTGCGCCAGGTGTCCCTGACTCAGCCAGGCTAGGTGGGGACCCATAGCAACCCCCTAGCAGCCACCAATCAGCATGAGACAGGGAAATACCTGGGATGCCAGATGACCCCCCAGTAGTTTATGGTGGTTGATAACATGTTGGGAAACCATGTAGTTCAGCACCTACACCCCTCGTGGCTTAAACCAGTCAGTTCAAAGGAATCCCCCTCTTGTACTAACCAATCACCCCTACCCAACTTGTTCCCGCCAGTGAATGTGCTAATCATGTTTTAGAGTTGTTGTTTGCTTTTCCCGTGGTGTGTGATGATTTGCTGTGTGATGTTGTGATGCATAGAGTATCCCCCCAAAAAAAACCTATCAAATCTCACTGGACAAAGGACCGGGACTCACTCCCTGGGACCACTGTATAGGGAACGGTTGTGAGTCCAGGCTCGAACTTGCAATAAAGATTCTTAAGTGATTGCATCGGATTCAGCTCCTGGAGGTCTCTTGGGGTCCCAGGAATCTGGCATCACATCGGGAAGCTGGTAACGTGAAGCCAGGAAGAAGAGGAAAACCCTGAATCTTTTATCCCACGATACTGTGATGCGCAGGTGGGCTTTGGAAGTGACGGAGGTCCCGGTCCGGAGAGATAGTAAAGCAACAGGTCCCCTCCGTAGTGTGGCAGAGCAGAGATCACCCTGAGTCTCCAAGGAGGTTTGCCATTGGGGCTGCGGAGAGCCAGGCACCTGGCCATCGGATGCCCTTGGTGCTTCCCACCAGGTTTGGGACTGATCTCTCCTGAGGCTGACTGGAACTCTCCCAAGGTACGGGGGCTTGGAGCCCTCAGACTGATCCTGATCCCCATGCCCGGGGCTCCAAGGTCTCCTGGGTTCCTCACAGAGGCCCCTTGCTTATCTGTGGATTTGGGGAGAGCCCGGAGGAAATGCAGGCAGGGGCCCGGGGACCACACCGTCCTGTCTTACCATGAATATCCCATCCGCCGCATGGTCTCACTCCTGTCGTGTTTCCTGTAGAGAAACGAAGGGGTTTAGGAGAACTGGGCAGCAGGAAGCACATCCTTCCTAGAGGTAAAAGATCGGGATGGAGCTACGTGGAGAAGCTTGGCTCTCACGATATCAGCTCCAGAAGAACCTTAAAACCATGGCAAACTCTCATAAGGCGATGCTCCGGCACGGGGTCTAGACACACTGGCACGCGCTATCAAAAAGGTGGACAAGCCCAACGTGGTGGTGAACGGCTGTCATCTCTGCAACGTAGGAGGCTGAGGCTGGAGGATGCGAAGTCAGAGGCCAGCCTCGGCCACTTAGTAAGATCCTAAGCAAGTTAGCGAGACCCTGTCTGAAAATTTAAAAAGTAAAATACAAAGGGCTGAGGATGCGGCTCAGTGGTGAAGCACTCCTGGGTTCGATCCTCATTAGCAAGAAGTGTCTTTGTGGCTCCAGAGAAGGAGCATTTGGGGCTTTGCAATGCAGATAGTTTCTGTTGCAATCAGCCCATTTGCCTGCGGTAGGGAGAATGTGGGAGTAGAAAATTCAAGAATAAATGGACACTCCTGTCAGCAAAACCTTGCTGAGCAAGAGAGAGAGAGCTGGGCTTGCTCACTGAGCCCTGGCAGCATTAGAAGAGTGAGTTTGCCGTTCTCTCCACTCTTCTGTTCTCTGCACGCACCACCATTTGCTTATCTGCCCGCCTGCTGCAGGACAGGAGTGCTTACACCTGTGAGCCACACTATGCTTTTATGAGACCTAGTATCTGTGCAATGCAGAGGGACACGTATCCCACAAACCAGGTGGGTCCTGACAAGGCAGTGTGCCCCTTGGGTGTGCAACGCTCTGAAATCCTGAGCTTTCCTTCCTGATCATGGTGCAATCATTGGCCAGAGACCAGATGTTCTCTGGTCACCAGGCTCGGTGCATTTTGTCAACACGTTTCCCAGCACATGGGGATGAGGGTTTTTGACTGTCCCCAAGGGGTCTTGAGCTGACAGACCAGAGCACCTGACCCAGGAGCTCTGCTTCCAAGTCCTGTCTCCCTGTCTGAAGCTTCCTCTCCATTTCTCTTAAATTGTGCACAGATGCACGAGGGACCCATTAGCTCAGAGCGTTGGGTGTCTCACAGGCATCGGGGACAGCAGAGCTGGCCGTGTCTGCCACAGGGAAAGAGCTTGGTATTGACTTGTGGGCTCTGGGCTTTGGGACCTGGGGAGGAAGCAGGGTGATGTGCGGAGCGAGGTGACATGCTGAGCGGGGTGACATCTGGATGTTTACCTCTGCATGGGCAATGGCGTGATCTGGACAAATGCCCTTTTTTTAAAAAAAAAGATCAAGTTTGCAGCAATGTGGGGACCAGTCAGAGCAAGGTGGGACCCGGAGCTCAGAAATGAACCAGGAGAGAATCCACCAAGGTCACACCAGCAGGTCCACAGACCTGGGAGGGGAGAGGAAGCAGGTTGAGGGGGGACTCTTTCAATTCCCCTCACCTGAATGCCAAAGGCTACAGGGTGAGCATCCTTTGTCCAAAAGGCTTGGGACTGGAACTGGTTCAGATTGCAGATTTTTTTTTTTTTTTTAATTTTGGAGTATTTGCATTTGAAGACATCTTGGGGACCCAAGTCTAAACATGAGATCATTTGTCTCATGCACGCCATGAACCCAGCCCCATGGTAAGTGTTGGACTACTTGGGGTCTGCATTGCCTTGAGGTCTGGTGGGGAATTGCCTATGGCCGAAGTCCTGCCCATGCTGAGGTTGGTATGAGGGATGCTCAACTAGTGTGTGCATTCAGGGGACAAAAGCAGATTCCTGCAAAAGACAATGGACATTAGGGACAAAGAAGAATGCTAATTATAAATGAAGTTATTAAAGAAGCCAGAAGCAGCGCACAGTGTGTGGCTTTAGGTTAGATGCCAAGACCACCAGAAAACCAAGCAGGCGGTGAGGAGATGTATCTGTGGGGGAGTGAGGAGTGAGATTTGGGGTCTTTTTTCGGGACAGCAAGATCTTCAGCAGAAAGGCATTATTATGGCAGTGTGAAATGAGTATTGCCACACTATTTATTGCACACGCAAAAAATGCTGTTGGAAATTTCCAGTTGGAATGTGCTGGTATAGTGCATGTGTACATTTTCTTTATAGTACTGGGGATTAAATCCAGGGGTGCTTAACCACTGGGGCACATTCCCAGCTATTTTCATTTTTTATTTTGAGACAAGGTCTTGATGAGATGCTTTGGGCCTCACCAAGTTGCTGAGGTCAGCCTCAAATCTTTGATCCTCCTGCCTCAGCCTCCAGAGTTGCTGGGATTGCAGGTGTGCACCCCACCATTTTATTAAATACACAAATTTAATGAAAGAAGGAGGGAGGGAGAGGAAATGAACATCTCTCTGATAACCCCCCTCACAGGTTAAATGAAACAAATAGAAATAGTTCTGGTAGTAAAAGGGCTAAATTAAAAAGTCCTCAGCTACTTTGATAAAGGAAAAGATGTCTTAAAAAGACTGAATTGTACCACCTCCAATGATATTTTATCTGTAGAAGAAAATGTCCCAGGTGTCGCCTAGGATCTATTATCTAGAAAACACAGGTATGAGCCAGGTGCGGTGGTGCACGCCTGTCATCCCAGCAGCTCTGGAGGCTGAGGCAGGAGGATCGTGAATTCAAAGCCAGCCTCCGCCAAAGTGAGGCTCTCAGCAACTCAGTGAGACCCTGTCTGTAAATAAAATGCAAAAGAGGACTGGGGTTGGGGTTCTGTGGTTGAGGGCCCCTGAGTTTAATTCTTAGCACCAAAAAAAAAAAAAGAAAGAAAGAAAGAAAAAAGAAAGAAAGTTAATGTAGGTAGGTTATAAGGTTTGGGATCTTTTCTCTTAACCGGAAGATTTTCACCAGAAATGCAATAGTTATTCTTGATGGTGTACTGATTTCTGTGTTACTAAGGAAATGCATTTTTTTTTTTTTTTTTTTTTTTGCAGTGCTGGGGACAGAACCCAGGATCCCCTGCATGCTAGGCAAGCACTCGGCACTGCGCTGCACCCCCAGGCCCAGGAATCAACTGAAAACCCTGCACCAGAGAGAAACAGACCCACTGAGAATCGTAATAGGCTCAGTTTTGTTTTTCTCATGCAGGTTGGCAGTCTGCCGATGCCTGGGAAACTGTGATTTTTTTAGGGGAAAAAAAACATAGTGCACAATTAAGCACAAAGACAACAACTAACACCAAGCCGTTGGAAGCTTCTGGAAGTCTTGCTGGCTCAGAATGGTTTGTGCCTGGGGGCGAGGGGGCAGGGGCTGTTCCTGGCTTCTTTGCCCTGCACCTGGAGAATGCTCCTCCTGTGGATTCGGGGAGGAGGAGCTGCAGGCTTTGCAGGAGCTTCATTTTGGAGACAGAGGTGCTGCGGAGAGTGTGGTTTGTCCGTGGAGATTTGAAGAGCTGCTAACCTCTTTCTTAGGAGACTGAATGGTCTACCGAGTGATATGGAGTTTCCTGCTCGCTGGGCATTTGACTGGGGACAGAGAAGGGGCCTGGGCAGGGAGGTAGAGTCAACACAGAAGGTTCAAGAACAAGCACAAAATGGTTGGACCCCCATGTTTGCCCCCTGAGCTCCTTAATCAAGTGACCAGAGTTTCCCTCCCCAAGGAAGCGAGAGTGAAGGCAGAATGTGTGTAAGATGCTTTGAGCTGCGACTCAGCCACGTCACCCTTGGTCTTCCACCTCCAGTGGAGACAAGAACCTGCACTGAGAGAGAGCTAGGCTGTCACTGATATCCCACCATGGGGACCTCAAAGTCTCCAAGCCATCATTGGGTACTAGAGGTACTCAGGGGCACTGGACCCCTGAGCCCCGTCCCCGGCCCTATTTTGTATCTTATTTAGAGACAGGGTCTCCCTGAGTCGCTTAGGGCCTCGCTTTGGCGGAGGCTGGCCTCCAATCACAATCCTGCCTCAGCCTCCTGAGCTGCTGGGATGACAGGCATGGGCACCGCCCCCAGCCAGGCTTAAGTTTCTAAACTCCTGCCTTTGCTATCACAAGAGGCCTTTCTGCCAAGAACACCAGCATACGCAGACAATGTGGATTTTTAAAAATATTTTTAGGTGCAGATGGACACAACATAATGCCTTTATTTTTATGCGGTGTTGAGAACCGAACCCGGGTCCCGCCTTAGCTAGGCGAGCGCTCCGTCGCTGAGCCAGAATCCCAGCCCGACAATGTGGATTTAAAAGATGTTCAGAAAGACTGGGAAGGCGCTGGATACTTTACAAATTCAACCCTTAACATTGTTGCAAATTCCTCTGGGGAACTGGCCCCTACAAAGCTCCCACACACAACCATGTTTTAATTGGCACATAGTAATGTGGGTACTAGGTGCTAATTCAGTACGTGGCTGTGATGCGGAAGGTCACAGTGGAGTAATGAGCATCTCCTTCAGCAGCTCTGATGATTATGATTTCTTTGTTTGGGGCTGTTCCCATGCACAGAGCTTGCAGGATAAGTCCCCCTATTGAGTCTGTGAGCGCTGAATGGATGTAAAAGTTCAACAAATGCCGGCAGCTCTAGTATTTATAAATCCTGTGGGCATGCCGGATACAGTGGCACCGGCCTCTAATCCAGAGGCTTGAGAGGCTGAGGCAGGGGGATGACAAATTGGAGGCCACCCTCAGCAACTTATCAAGGCCCTCAGTTACTTAGTGAGACCCTGTCTCTACATTTAAAAAAAAAAATAGCTGATGAGATGGTAAAGAAAATGTAACTCTATATACACAGAGGAATATTACTCAGTCCTAAAGAAGAATGCAATGATGGCATCTGCTGATAAGTGGATGGAGCTGGAGACTATCAGGCGGAGTAAAATAGGCCAATTTCCCAAACACCAAAGGCTGAATGTTTTCTCTGATATGTCGATGCTAATTCATAATAAAGGGGAGACTGGGGAAGAATAGAGGTACTTTGGATTAGGCAGAGGGGAGGGAAGGGAGGGGAGGGGTATGGGGTGGGAAGAATGAATGGGACCTTATGACCCTGTGCGCATATATGACCACAGGACCAGGGTGATTCTACACCATGTACAACCCGAAAAATAAGAAGTTGTGCTCGATTTATGTAGGATGTGTCCAAGTGCATTTTAGTGTCATGGAGAACTAATCAGAACAAATTAAAAAAAATATATATATATATGTGTATATATATATATATATATATATATATATATATATATATATATTTAAGAGAGAGAGAGGTTTTTTTTTTTTTGATATTTATTTTTTAGTTCTTGGCGGACACAACATCTTTGTTGGTATGTGGTGCTGAGGACGAACCCCGGCCACACGCATGCCAGGCGAGCGCGCTACTGCTTGAGCCCCATCCCCAGCCCTTAAAAAAAATTAAATAAATAAATAAATAAGGGCTGGGGGATGTGGCTCAGTGGTTAAGCACCCTCTGGGTTCAATCACTGCTACCAAAATAAATAAATAAATAAATAAATAAAACCACAAAACACTATGTCCTTAAACTAGACTACACTTATGATTTTTTTCTTCAATAATACATTAAACCGAGTTCACAGTAACTTTCTCACTTCATCAACTTGCTTTTTTTTTTTTTTTTTAACTTTGGATTCTTTTGTAAGGATGCTTGGTTAGAATACAAACGGCGTGGTTAAAAAAATGGAACTTTTGAATGTTATTTATGACCTGGAGGGACACCTATGGGATCCTGTCACTTTCCAGTGCGCAGCTGTGAGTCTGCATTCCTACACGTTTTGCAGGCAGCTTCTCTTACATCAAGTGGCTATGACAGGCGTTACAAAGTCGGTTTTTATTCTTTATCAAATAGACGCTTGTGTGTGTGTGTGTGTGTGTGTGTGTGTGTGTGTGTGTGTTTTCTTTTTCTTGCAGGAAGATGTACCAAGGGCCTCTGCCCACGCCTCTGGAGGACAGTCTGGCTGTGCTGGTTTTACTCGGCTCCTTGCACTGGAGACCAGAGACAAAGCTCAAGCCTTGGCTGGAGAGTGAGTCCAGATAAAAAGCGACTTGACTCTGTCAGCTAAAGGCCTGCTCCTGCCCGGGACACGTTTGCATCTCAGCCCCTGGGAGGCAGCCCTCCCCTCCACGCTGGCCGCTGGCCACCACGTTCACCGCTGCCCAAGGGGGACGCAGGGAAGCAGCCCGCGCCCGCCATGTCACTCAGCTCACTGAGGGTCCTGCGCGACAATGCAACTGAGCCCCTGCTCTTCCCCCAGTGCTGGGTCCCCGCCAGGCCTGGGCTCGGTGGCCACGTCCTGGCAGCCTGTGGACATCCCGGAGACGGGACCTCGGAGAAGGCTGGCCCCTGCTGCCCCTGGCCGCCCCTGCCCCGTCCCCACGGACACGAAGTTTCAAAACCACCAAATAAATAGCCCCCAAGGCCCCGCGGATTCTTTTCCGTCGCACAGAAACACTTCTAAGAGTTGCCAAAGTCGCCAGGAGAGGGACAGGCTGCGGGGCAGGGCGGCCTGCGGCGGCGGGGACCCGGCGGACACGGCTTTACCTGCAGAGGGGTCTCGGGGGAGCCCAGCTCAGCTCCGGGGACGTCAGATCCTGCGGCACCTCGGCTGCGGGGTCGCCTGGGCTGCGAGGTCCTCTCTGCTGCGCGCGCCCCGGGGAGGCTGTCCCTGCGCCGCGCACCCAGCGCAGCCCGCGGACCCGGCCAGGCCCGGCGCGCTGCCCGCCCTCCCGCGTGTGCAGCAGGTTTCTGGTTCTTTCTTGCAAGAGCAGCCTCCAGAATACACAGGTCTCCAGCCCCGGCCTCCGGTTCAACCCCCAGGGTGGGCGTTGGCTGGCTGTTCCCGAAGAGGCCAGTGGGTGGCTGGTCTCCAAGATCCTCCTTGCATGCATAGTTGCACACCTCACTTCTTCCTTTGGATCATCATTTAACGATTTCCTCCCTAGATGTTGCTTCAAACAGAAGAAAAAGTCAGGAGCAGTCGGGGATGAGGCTCAGCGGTCAAACGCTTGCCAGGCACCCACATCGCAGCAGTGCGATTAAAATAGGCACCTATTTTTGTATAAACATATATGTAGTTATAGTAAAATGGATTTTATATATCTGATGTGATGTACAAGGTCTATTAGATATATTTATCTATTCCTATTTGTATATTTAATATTCGTATTGGTGTATTTAATATGTAATATTCATCTAATCGTGATATACTTAATATATTAAGTATATAGAGATAATAAATACTACATTATGTATGTGATTAATACATACACGATCTGCAGAACATTCTTTGGGAACTGAGCAAAAAAAAAAAAAACCTGATTTATTTATTTGTTCTAATTAGTTATACACGACAGCAGAATGTCTTTCCATTCACAGCACACGGATAGAGCACAGTTTTTCATTTTTCTGATTGTACACAAAGAGTCGCAACATTGGTGTCCTCACACATATACGTAGGATCATGATGTCCCTCTCATTCCACCATCTTTCCTACCTCCATGCTCCAGACCCACCATTTGCCCCATCCCAGGTTTCTCCATCCTGCCCATCACCCCAACCCCCCCGCATTTTGGATCAGCATCCACTCATCAGAGAAAACATTTGGCCTTTGGACTGGGGGGAATTGGCTAACTTCACTTAGCATGATATTCTCCGACTCCATCCATTTACCGGCAAATGCCATCATTTCATTCTTCTTCAGGGCAGAGTAACATTCCATTGTGTAGATGTACCACGTTTTCTTTATCCATTCATCTGTTGGAGGCTACCTAGGTTAAGTCCATAACTTGGCTATTGTGAATTAAACTACTGTAAACATTGATGAGGCAATGTTTATAGTAGCTCAATTTATAGTTTATACCCCCAAAACTTAAAATCAGCACACTACAGTAGGAGTCCTGTATAAACTGAGGAGTGGAATAACTGGGTCAAATGGTCTTTCTACTCCAAGTGTTCTGAGGAATCTCCATCCTGCTTTCCAGAGTGGTTGCACCAATTTTCAGTCCCACCAGCCATGTGTGAGTGGACCCTTTCCCCACATCCATGCCAAGATTTATTATTCTTTCTATTCTTGATGATTTCCATTCTGTCCGAGGGAGATGAAATCTCAGTGTAGATTTCATTTGCCTTTCTCTAATTTCTAGAAAGGTTGAACATTTTTTTCATATACTTGTTGATGGATTCAGAGATGCTACACCTAAGAAAGAAGAAAGTGGGCCCCGATTTTCATGATATCGGGATCAGGCTCCAACACCCTTAGCAAGACTCCGAAAGCGCAAGAAATAAAATGAAGACTCAATCAATGGGATGGGTTCCAACGGAAAAACTTCTTCTCAGCAAAGAATGAATCCATGAGCGGAAAAGAGAGCCCTCAGAATGGGATCCGGATCTTTACCACCCCCCCGCCCGATCATCATCAGACAGACAGTGCACTCAGCTCCAGCAGATACTAAGAACTCAAAAAACTTAACACCAAGAAAACAAATAACCCCATCAATAAACGGGCCAAGGAGCTGAAGACACTTCTCAGAAGAAAAAATACAATCGAATAACAAATATATGAAAAAAAAATCCTTTTCTTTTTCTCCCTCCCCTCTCCTCTCCTCCCCCTCCTCCCCTCCTCCTCCTCAGCTCCTCCTCCTCCTCCCCTCCTCCCCT